AGAGGGATATTTTTCACTATCTTACTTGGGTTATTGTATCATATATTTTTTTTATTATTTTAATTCTCATAATTGAATTATGACGGCTTTAATATACTGGGTATTGTACCTCATGTGCCACTAATATTTGGTGTGAACACAATTAAATAACTTAGCTTGAAATTGAAAACATGAGAGTAGTGATCAGGTGCCAGCGAGGAGTAACCATCCACTGTCGAATGGTCACAACCGTAAACATAAATCTTTCTTCTTTTCTGCCACAAAGTTTTTCAATAACATATTCAATATTAAAAAATGGTTGTCTTTAAAGATCCTGAAGTGGAGTTGGATTTAATTTATTTATCAAAAGAAGCTGAAAAATGGGGAATAGAGTTCGAACGTTTATTGGGAGAAGTACATGTAGATGGAATTACAATAAAACCACGAAATGTGCGTAAGGAACATTCAATCAAAAATCAGTGGATTGGGATATGCAAGGCTTCATTTGACAGACACATTGACGTCGATAAATCAATCCCAACAAAATGTTTACCAGTAACAGAATTTCCAGGTTAGTAAAAAATGAATAAGTGAAATGAAATTGATTATCAATATGAACACTAATATTATATATATGTCCTCTGTCTACTCTCCTAAGTCACCTGTTAAGTTAAATTAATTAAACATTAATCGGGTCCCTCAATTTTTTTAATGAACTATTTTAATAAGGTAAAGCAAGTACATACATGTATACGCAGAACATGTACAATGGCAGAATACAAGCTCTAGTATTTGTGATAATGGATGTCACCCAGTACAGGCTTTTTTAAGCAAATGCATGTGCCGATGTAAAGACAAATAATGACCCCCATATAATAATGACCGGTAGGTCATTTTTCAATGACAAAAAATGACCGCAGCCGTAGAAAAAAATTATTTTTTGTAGAAAAAGAGCCCTTGGGGCTATTATTTTATATGTAGGTCATATAAAAAATTTGACCCCCTTTGATAAGTGACCCCTTTTAGAGTAATACAAAAGATATAACAGGTGAACGGGAAAACATATACCGTATACAATAAATGTTCTTCCTTTGCATTTGTTCGAATAGATTTTATCTTTGTTCTGCTAAGCACATAGGGCTTATAAAGTTCATCATTTCTCTCTGCCGAAATATTGCCAAATCGGAGCAAAACCAGAAAATCAAAGATTGTACATGTATATGTGTAAAGCGTATGGATCAAATGCACGCTGGAGATGAGATTTATGAATATAAGATTTTTTTCTTTACTGACTCCATTGATAAGTTGTTTCTTACGGTGTCGCTGGATAAAAAAAAATATTCGTTGGGAAAAAGTAGAATTTCATGGCAGACCAATTAATATCTGTGCGTACAAATTAATAATTTGTTAGAATAAATAAAGTTTCATTCGGACGAGTGAGTAAAAATAGAAATGGATGACAGGATGCCTCAATGTTTGATTTTTTAATATGTTCTATCGTAGGCAATAACTATATGATAAAAGATATTTTAAATCTTTGCAAATACATAATTAAATATAACGGTAATAATAAAGAAAATACACTGTATTAATAATTACTAGTATTTGGTTGATATGGAATTCTGTTCTTTTCATCCCCCTCCAAAAAAAGAACAAAACGTTAATTAAAACCAAAGAAAATAATTCTTTAATGAAAATAAAAAAAAAAAAACTTCTATACCTTTCAATATTACTGAAAGGGGCTCTAGATAAAATATTGAAATGAAGTTAACCCTACAAACAAGTACCATCATATCATAATTTAATTCGCTGTCATTAAAGCATACTTTAAATGTTGGTTGGGGTATACTTAAGTATTGTGGCAAAGTAACAGCTGAAAATTAGTAGAACAGTACATTATTTTAAGCTTATTTTTTAGTCCCTCCTTATAGAAAAATTACGGTAGGGTCTACCCATATTTTATGTTGTTGTTGTTGCTTTTGTTGAAAATCGACTTCCTCCTAAATAAGGAAGGGGGTATAACACCTAAAAATATGCTCTGTAAAGCTATGGGCTAGTTTAAAATACATATTTTAATGCAAAAAAAAAAAAGAAATACATGTTGATAAACCTTTTGATTATGATTTAGCACACAGTATTCATTACATTTTTTTAAATTCTTGTTTTACTCCACCCTCTTTACTCAGATCTTTGTATATTTTTCAGAGAGTTTAATATGGAAATCAGAACAAACATTTTCATTGTTGTAACGACTTCTTTATACTGTATCATAGTATGAAAAATTAATTGAAGACCGTTACTTTTTATATATACTTTGCCTCCCATATGATTATAATGGCAAAGTTCATGTTTTTCTCCGGGACACCCAAACTAAGTGTTAGATCAAGAACTAAAATTGGAAGTACACAATGGAATTATGTCATAAAGAATCTGTGAAAGCATCATTAAAGAAGATGGGGAACAAGGCGTGTAAAATGCCTGTAACTTAAGATATTAAAAAGATCATATTCATTTTGTGAATTAATTACTTAAATTAATTTCTTATTAGTGAAATTTATGAAATTATGATAAAAATCTTGAAAAAAATATTCTTTTATTAAAAAACATAATATGCTATTCGTAGGATTCAAACCCTAACAATAAGAATCTGTACGCTAACCACTACGCTATACGGCTCATGATGAGTTGTGGCATTTAAATCATGTTTGTGATATGATCCCTGATTAAACGGACTTCAAGTATTTCCCGGAAAGATGCGAATAATTTGTTATAAAAGTGTACTTTTAACGTACAGTGGGTAATTGCTCCATGCTTTTGTAACCTCAAAAATGCACATGTTATTTAGGATTTAGGATTATCTTTCAGAAAAATGGAGTGAAGACACATTCATCAGATGTTCATATCGAAAAATTTTGTTAAAGTATGACAAAATGATATTTTGTCCCTTTAAGTGTGTATATGCTGTTTAATAGGTAAATAATTTCAGTGTTTGTGAGATTTTGCGCTTCGCGGTTCATAAAGCGTAAACTATACCCCAACCCAGGTTATACAGTATAATTTGGGTTCCCATTTAATCCATTCCTTAATTGTACTATAAATTAATGTAAAGAGATCAACATATCATCAATTTATTCCCAATTTACTCAGGTGAGCATTTTGGCTATTGGACCTCTTCATTTATTTAATTTTTTTAATAATACTTTTTCAAAACATATACATGTAAATTAATTGAAACAAAAATCCTTTAAATGTAGCATTTCATATTAGTATATTTAATCTTGCCAAACAAGGTGATTTACTAGGCTTCTACATGTAAAATAACTTGAAATGACTACTGAATATACCTAGGAACTTAGAGAATTTACTACGGCATGGTCAATGGGCCTAATTATTAACATTTCTGGAAGCAGTATTTAAAGATATGCATGTAGATTATAATTTTAGATTACGTTTACTTATGCACACTGGAAAATATTCCCCGAATATCGTCAAAAATCATGATTTTATTAGAATCGTTTCAATGTATTTAATCATAAAGTAATTAAAAAGTAATCATAATTACAAGACTTTTTTCCGAATAATTGATTAAATTACGATTATTTGTTATCAGAAAAATGGTTAATTACTTATTTTCTATGATTGCTTTGCAATCTTTTTGCAATTACTGATCACGATTATCCAATCCCTTTATCCGGTAGGTCAAATTTTACTTCAAAACGTAATATTTCAGTTAACCTGACATTTCCTATGGACCTAGTCTTCAAGAAAACTTTGGTTGGTTGATTTAACTTAAGTGTTTTGAATTTTAAAAGGCAGTGTTTTGATAACAATCATTAATACATTGAGATTGTTTGATATCCAAATATTTTCATTTCTAATTTTCTTCTCTGTGATAACTCTTTGAAAGTTAGCGGAGTTGATTTCTTGAAAATTCTACCTGAATGTAAATTAGGCAGGTCGATAGGTCAGGAGCTAAGGAGGCCTAATATGCATGCAAATCTCGTGCGCATCTGTCTGTGTCTGACGTCAAGGAGGCCAAATATGCATTAAAATTTCGTGCGGCTGCCTTTGTGTTTGACGTCAGTGGGCGAGGACTATTGAAATAAGCATGACAGTCCTCGTGTAATTTAAATCTATGTCTACATTTTTAAAGTCTAAATCTGCAATTTTTTTTCCACAAAGAAATGGAAATATAAGGAATCACTGTCTAGTTAGTATAGTATGCCAGGGGATTGTTAGATTAAACATAATAAAATGATAAGTAATTATGTCTATAATTTCAAGTTCATTATTCATCTTTGCTTTAAGGGTTGGGGGATAGTATTCCTGATTCTATCACAGTTTCAATATCCTGAATTATTTTTTTTTCTTTGCAACACTGTAATACTTGTAGCATATAAATAGATGTTCGTGTAGATGATCATTTTTAAATTTATTTGCATCTTTAACGCCGGTATTTGAAGGCAACACAAGCATTCCTTAAAACACTATATTTTCAAGTTTACTAGTAAGATGGTTCTTAGCTTTTCTGACTCTTAGTCATCTTCGGTTTCTATGTCTATATTTCTAATCATCGTTGTAAATTTGATCATTATAGGAATGATAATCATCATCGGAGAGGAATATATGAAGACAGGAACAGATTTTGAAATTGAAACACGTTATCCTGACAACCGAATACGTCACATTACCATAGCCGGTTTTCCAAATGACAAATTGAGGGCTAGGAGGGCGATTAAAGCCTTTATTGAGGGAGGTATTAATTTCCAATTTGTTGATACGAAATAAATTATCTGTACTTCATCTTAAGAGCGAAATTATCATTGAAATTCATTGAAATTAAATATTTTGTATTTCATTTTTCAGATTTCTCCAATACAGACAGAAATAAATACAGTATGAATTATCAATTTAAATGGAAAAATAAAGAATTGTTACCATTTGCATGGTTACTCATGCATTGAATATCTTTTTGGTCATTGTTTTAGATGAAGGTCATGTCAGACAACACGAGGTTGCAAAAGGCGTCAACTCAAGCCAGCAAGTTCTTCCTCCCAGTGAATTATGTCAACAAGGTTGAACGACTCTAATTTATTTTTTCTGCATTATAAAGGTTTTCAAAAATTATATCTATAAATAAACTATCGACATGTTGATATATCTACGAATGTCGAATGTCCGAGATATAAAGAAAGTATGTTTATAGTAGGATGAAGTATTAAGATAATGAACAGTAGTCAAACTCAAAATCTAATATTTACATTCAGTGTAATTTTCTGTATAAAATCCATTACAAATCCACGACGTTCAAATCTTTATAAAAAACGCGAAACCATGTCACCGCGTGGTAGAATACACAGTAGGAACTATATGCATTTTCTATAATCTAGGAACACCAAAATGTACAATGTTTAGTCTTAATTTAATTAAAAACTATAACAGAGTCCTGTTAAATACACGTAAAAATACAACAAATGCACTTTTTCCCTCGCGATGTTTGTTTGGTTTATTTGAATTTGCAACGTCATTTGACGTTTATTACCAAAATTTACATCGTTTAGTTTCTGTGACAAAGAGGTGTAACAAAAACATTATATGCTCTAAAAATAAAGTGAATAATTTAAAATTATCAAAACCTTCGATAAGAAAGTATAAGACAGAAATACTTAGAATTAATTTGTGTTCAACAATTATATATGCTTGGGTCAAACGAAGGTTAATTTAAAAACTGGTCCATAAAAATTACAAAAATAGTAATTAAATACAATTATTGATAGTGGCAATTGAACACGGAGGAAAGCAAAGCAGAGTTGGAGACATGCCAAAAATTGACGTTCCCTCACAACCGCCTAGAAAACGGCAAGTTTATATCAAATACCTTTCAAGTTTACCGAGGAGAGCATTCTCTGATTTTACGGAGAGATACATAAGCACGATAGATCCAATTTGGAAGAAGGAGGAAGAACCCGTGGAGGAAGGCTCCGTCTGCATTGTTGTCTGCTTCACCTTGTCACGTCTCCTTGATGATATATCAGCTGTCGTCAACATAACACCAAAAGGTAAATGAGAGTTCAATCATAATCAATTTTTTTATCCTATTTTATATTAACAAAATAGTGTCATATCATAAAAATAGCAAAAAGCGTAAGGCATAAAGAATTTTTTTTATAAAGAACCACTACATGTAACCTATCATTGTGAAATTGCTCATAGTTTTAGGACTTTCGAAACTTTTCCAAAACATTTCTTGTTTGTTTTTATTAGTGTAGTTGAAAGATTTTAAGTGTACTTTTATGAAAATAAAATTGCATGAAATAAATGTTGTTGATCCATTGAATCTTAAACAATTATCCTATCCCTCAAAGCTAAAATATACGAATGACAAATGAGGAAAAATCTTTTTATATATAAACCAATTCACAAATTCAAGACAGTATCATTTGTCTTCAAGCATAATTACACTTTGTAAATACAAATGAAAATATTTTAGATTGTACCAACATACTTGTTGTGATCCAGAATTGCCGGGAAGGAATTGCTCCAGGACCAATGCTGAAACACAACCCAGACAAATGCTTTACAGATTTTACCAATATCTTATACGGGGACGGAGAATGTTATGATTGTGATATAAACTCTAGAGCAAAAAAGACAATCCAATCCTTCATCAACAGTTACTGAAATGCAGATTGACTATATTTTTTTGACACGGAATTATGGTACATATATATGTACAGTTGAAAATATATACATATATCCGTCAACGTAGATGAAAAATTGTAGTAGCTAGTAGTCACCCATTTTTGCTTGTTTACCTGTCCTTAAGAAATCTTCAAGAGTTCTGAAGCGATTTTAGTAAAAACTATATACCGGCAAAACATCTGAAAGATTGACCAGATTAGTCTTATTGAGTAAACTATGTACTTTTTTGGCAGCAGAGTAAACGTTCAATATTTTTTCTCTTGTGAAAATCTTTAAGACGCATATACTAACAGCTGTACCTTGGTTTATATTTAGTTACTTTTGGAAAAGGATATATTCTATACAATGTCACAATTCAATTAAAACATGCTTTCTATATAAAATCGGGAAAAATACAATATAGCCAAAATGTTTTTAGATCTACTTTAAGTGAAGATGTGTATATATGACTATTATAACCAAGGAACAAAATGTTATGTCGGAACCATGATATCATAAAAAAATCTTATTTGATAATTAAACGCTTCGTTGATTAGGACATCCAATGCAGGCTATGTCCTTTATGTAACCGAGCAGTAATAAGAACAGGTCACGTTTTAATCTTTATTAAACACCAATAAACAGCAATTGCATATCCTATAAAATAATATACATGATTATAACTTCAAATAGAATGAAAAATAACATTAGTTATGAAAAATAACAAGTTATGAAAAAGAAAAGTATTTCAAAAGAAAATACCTTTACGGAAAGCACGGCCTCGAGAAGTTGTGACCTTGAAAACTGGCTGGCGGGACAAGTAATTTCAATCGAACATGAGTATTTATACCTAGACCTACTGCGCAAGTGGATTGAGTTGATTTTAAAAATACACCAGTCAGGAATAAGATTACAAAGAGTGTTCGACAAAAGCCTTTACAAAATGTTAGAATCATACTCACTTAATTCAATAATCGAATAAGAAATAAGTTAACAAAAGTGAATACGGTATTAGCCTAAATAAATATATGAATTAAAATATGTAATTACTTGGTCACATTTACAAAAAAAAAAAAAAAAAAAAAAAAAAAAAAACATGCGATGCATTTTTGAATGGGAAATAATTGAAAAATTTTCATCTCTAAATAGTAACCACTCACAACCTTTAAAAAAGAGGTTTTAAGTTGGAAAAGAAAAGATGCTGTATTGAAAATGTTTTCAGTAACATGTACTTGATAAACATGATAAACATGATTTAGTTTTAAAGATTTATACAGATGTATGTTTTTATCATGCGTAAATATGCTGTACCGTCAAAGCTGCAATTCTAATCTAATTTTTAATCTTATTTTATTTGAGTGCAACCCTCCACCTACTTCAAATAAGAAAAATATCAGAAACCCACCTAACCTTAGGATGATTGTTGCAATTGTGGTTGAAATTTTATACAGAACATATGGATGTGCATATGCACTTACACACAAACACACACCACACCATCCGCCTCTCTCTCTCCCTCTTGCACACACCCTCCTTCACACACATATATACACATACAAACAAACAACGATCTACATAATTGTAAAACGTGAATAATTTGTATTTATATCCAAAAAAATTTCCAAGCCATTGTGATATGCAAATAATGTTCTACTTTTTGTCATATTTTTAACAATGACACACTTAAAAAATGTGTGTCTTCGAGAAAAATTGGCATTAAGTTTGTGGAGAGGAATTTGAATTTCTTTTGCTTACTGTCAATTATCGTGATGTGTTGTAATTTATAGTTAATCAGATGTGGAATTTAGTAATTCGAAGGAATATTCTGGAAAATTTGAAATCACAAAATTTTATCAAAATCAATAGCAGAAAAACTTACACCTTATCAACTTTATATAGAACCAATTTCCACAATGACATCAAAGACAGCTACATTTTCAGTAAAAATCAACGTCATAAATTTACTTACCTTTTCACTGGCCTGTTAAAAAAATCTGATTGTACCAACAAGTACTCTAAGTTAAGAGGAGAAAGATGCTTGATTTTCAGATTGACAACATTTACATGTGGTTTTTGGAGACAAGGTCTTACAACAATCTATTGAATTTCCCATGGGTATCAATTGCGCCCCATTATCAGCAGACATATTTTTTGTATTCATATGAAGCAGAATATATTCAAAATTTCATAAATTGGAAGGAGAAAACTATTGCTGTGGACTATAGCTTGACATTTAGATATATTGATGATGAATGATCAATTCACAATAGTTATTTCAATTCAAAGATCGACACAATATTTCACAATGAGCTTAAAATAAAAAATACTACAGCGTTTGAGACGTCTGTTTTGCATTAAGATATTTTTCTAAAACAAAAGTCGTAAATGCTAACTGAACTTTAAAGGTTTATGATAAACGTGATGACTTCTACTTGTAATAATCAATTTTCCTTACTTATGCAGCAATATACCAATTGTGGCCGTAATACGTTCCATTTCCACTATTGAAGAGTTATAGTTCTAAGGCGCTCTTTTGTGAAAAAGTCGGAGAATGTATAAATCTCTCGGGATTTCTGGGACAAACGTAACATAAACATGTAAACAACACTTTGAATGTCGATGAACAAATCCTAACAAAATGCATATGAAGTATTTTATTGTTGTGGACTTTATTTAAATCAATAGTAGAGATGAAAAGGATATTAAATTACATCTATTGGTGATCGTTTGTATCTATTTATCGTAATGGTACATTTAAAGTTAATACACATATCTCGGAAATTTCGTATTTTTATTAATGGACGATAAAGTTAGGGTTTTCGCTCTCTTACATACGTCTTTTAGTTCTTCTATTCTTAAGTTAGAATGACAAATGCACTTAACATTTAACATTTGGATTGATACTGGCACGTTTCGTATTATCCGCAATGCCATGCTGTCCCAGTCAGACGACCAAACGCGCCTCTAACTCTAAAGAGTTCACTTATGGAAATACAACGTATTAGCAGACCTATTTTTGTACTAATATGAAGCGGAATTTGTTCAAAAAATTTTACCTGAAAAGAAGAAAACACTTGCTGTGACTTTCAGTCCAAAAGTTTGACGACTTATTGTCAATTATTAATAGTCATTTCCACTCTTATGTCGACACGATATATTCCTAAGATCTATAACTGAAAGATACTCGACCACATTAAGGAAAACTTGAGTTCACATTCGCAAATGCACCTTATTAGAAGTTTTAATTGTGAAGTTATTAAAAATTTAGCAAGTCACAATCATTTTAACCACACGATGTTGTATAAATAACAACGTAAAATCCATTTTTACGTCAATTATTTTTAACATCATGTAAAATAACATTGATTAACAAAACAGCCGAGAAAAGGGAAACAATTCTTTCTTTACAAATGGCGTCACTAGCCTTGACATGAAGTAGTACAGATGATCCAGAAGAGATTTACCGGTAATAATATATATGAAGATGCTCAAATAAATATGAGACCATATTTTTAATTTGATAATTAAAACTTTAAAAAAATTATTTCACACAATTAAATGAATAATCGATCTATTTAATAGCAATGGGGCTGCACAGCGACAGTGAATGTAAGGAATAGACTAAGCGTATTCCTTATTTACCTCCAACGTGCAAGGGCATAGACTAGTCTGTTTGAGATAAAATATAGAATATCAATTGCTTATATCCTGAATATTTTAAAAAGTGCTCAGAGCTAATCCTGGTCTGCATCACAAAACTTTTATTAAATAAAGAATTTAAACAAAAAAGGAATCTTTAGCTTTCCAAATATCAGCACAGATGAGGTAAACCCTTTTAAATATGTATCAATTTTTTTTCTCAAAAACATTCGTATTCTCTTGCACTACCTCATTTTCTACATTCAGTTTCACAATTCTATTTTTATACCAGTCACGTGACAGACAGCTGATACATGCTTATAAAACTGGTACTGAATACGGCATAAACGTATTGATTATGGATATCTATATTATATACAGTTACTTCGTAACGAAAATTAAAACTAGAGGTACTGTGAGCAATGAGCTCACTAAATGATACTCCCGCCTCCCATAATGTCCATGTGTTGCTATATATTGTTTTACGGTAATGTGTAAAGAGGAATAACTCGTCCTATCAAATGTTATCCAGAAGCTTCTATATGTGACGTCATAGGTAAACATATAATGTCCATGTTTTGCTATGGGAAACCTAAAATACGTGTCGAATAAAAAAGTAAAATTGGAGGTGCACAATGGCAATATGTAATAAAGATTCTGTGAAAGTTTCATTAAATTTCACTCAGTAGTATAAGAGGAGTTGCGGATAAGAGATAAAGCGTAAAAGACGGACGGACGTACAGACGGACGGAAATCCCGATTACTATATACCCTCCCCCTTTTCAAGCGGGGGATATAAAAAGACACATAAAGAAGCTAGTGTCGCATTTTCCATTTCGGCCCGTAACAAACCTGAGTACCACGCAGTTTGACAAATCTGTTTTATATTTGGATATTTTACTAGAAAAGGTCGTTAATTGTAATCTAAGAACAAAGCTTTATGATAAACGTAATGACTTAACTTTTCAATCGTCAACTTCCCTTACTAATGCAGCAGTGTACCAATGTCACATACCGGTACATACGAAGTTTATATCTCTCAGCTGATTCGATACATAAGATGATAAGAGTATGTTTTATGTATGGACAATTTCTAAAACGTAATAATTTATTGATAAACAAGTTAATGGAACAAGAATATCAGTTGTCTCGTTAAAAGTCATCAGTTAATTACGTAGTTCTATTGTCAATACAATGACCTTGTCAGCAAATATGATTTATCATTAAGTCAAATGCTGACAGACGTGCTAGTTGTTAGGTCATTTTTTACACACTGAGTTGTCGACGGATATTCCCCCTTTTCCCGAATAGGGAGCTCTTGGCGGGGACCGATGTGACAGGGATTGCACACTCCTTCATAGTACCTGATCCCTCTTCTGATATTTGGAGGTCTGTGTTTGCTCCA